TTATAATGTGCACTGATTGCATATTGTTGTAATCCATGTGCACTGTGCACATGGATTCACTACATGCAGGAAATACTTTTAGTTTTATTTAACTACTGTCAGCAGACAGTAACCACAAATGCATAACAACAGCTGGATTTGTGAGAAATCTGCACTGATCAATATTTATTGTTTTTCCACTGCGTTTTCAAATAATCAGTATTATGCATTATTTTTAAAGCTGAAAAGATGACCTAGGATTCAATCAGCAGCTACAAAAATATTATGAACAATGTGCTGCTTGAGGAGAAATTGATGTTTCAAGCATGCTGAAAGCTGGGTCATTATGAACCCACTTTTGTTCTCAAGCCAGGCATCTCTAGGATCAAAGCACTATCATCGACAGAGAATTAAAAACTACTTGAGAGTCAGAAAAACAAACAAGAATAACAATGTAGCGTCATTTTTCTCAGTACATTTTTCATAGGGAAAGTGGGATCTTTCATCACTTCTAAAATGAAAGCTTTTAACGTTATTTAGACATGTACATAAATAATGAGTTTATGGTTAACAATTAGAAGAAGCTATTGCAAGAGAGATTTAAATGGAGCAAAAGAAATTTAATGAGCTACGCAGAATTTAGAATTTGGCTGGACATTACACAAAGACCAAACCAAACTTCATTCTATGCACCTGCCTGCATTCTGCTGCTTATTCGTAAGTATTTCAGTGAACTACTTGAAAAATTAGATGATAAACTCAGAAATCCTGCCCACACTCAAGTCAATAAAAGTTTTGCTGTTGTCTCCCGGAGATGCCTAACTTCATCCCAGAACACGTGGGAAGCAATCTGTCCTGGAAGGAACTACAATGCATTAATCTGAAATTTCCATGGAGCTTTCAATCAGCTACATGCAGTCAAGGAGGTTTATATTCCATTTGATGGAAAACAAAAAGTGCATCCTGGAGTTTTTAATGCATTCTTCCACAAACAATGAGCCTGTGACCACAGCTGCCATCCTTGCATGTTGCTCATAGCTTTAAAGTGACCACAGCACCAGGGCTCAGTTCTACTAGATTGTTAAAACTGGACATTTAGAACTAAATCGCCTGTAATTCCGAGGTTCGTAGAATTAGTGGTTCCCACTGAGGGTGGCTCAGGGGACATAATCGCAGATTTGTACGCCTGGTGTGAAGAACCATGTGACACTAGGCCAACTAGACTTTGGGAGGAAAACTTTCACTTCACAGCAGCAGTGTAAAACGAGGTATTACAGGGAAAAATGCCATCTTAGTTGAACAAAATATTATTACTAGATCTAGAGACTTTAGCAAGGATCTATTAGGCTTGGAACAAATACTCTGGGCAGAATTAATCTTCAATAAAGTGTGAGAATTAACTGGATATGTACAGGGTGAACCATACCTGCTATCAGTATTTTACTTAGGATGAGATTATGACATATTACAAAACTTTGCTGCAATAGAAGGCAAGAAAACTTCGGAATAATTAAGCAGTATTATACCTGAGATTGATTGTGATAATGATGGGTTTGTATACTATTTTATAAAGATATAAACTATAAACCAAAAAGGACTAAAAAGATTACTTCTGCTGTAGCCTGAAATGTTAAACTTACTAGGTTTTTAAAGTTACAGTAGAAATTTAAAAACAGCAGCACAGTGAAACATTAAGAAATATGCTACTTGCAGAGAAATTCTGTGCAATTAATCTTGTCGATGAATATTCAAAATTACTCACCTTTTCAAACAGCAAGAACCTGGAGATTCTCAAGATGACTAAACAAGCCGTGTGCAACTGCTAACGTAGAAAAGCAACCTTCCTATTAAGTCTACTTAAAGGGTATTTAAAGCTCAGCCTCTCCAGCTGTATCACCTCAGGTCAGTAATATACTGACGATTATAGTTTAAAGGCTTTATTTTAACTGCCCTCTTTCAAAATATAGAATAAAGAACAGAAAGTATTAGGCAAACTAGATCTGTCCTGCCTGTTCCATATAGCAGGAATTTTTGGATGGTTTCCAAATGTTGAAGTTTAAACATGCTGCGGAGGTGACTGACAACTGATTTTTCCAACTCTCGAGTTGGCATTCTGACAAATAACACTGTTGATGTTAAGTCTATCTCATATTCCTAACAAAGTTTAAAGGTCAAACAAACTGACTAGTGTCCTTGCTGGATATTCTTTTACTATTCACCTGTTTTAAGACAATAAATTTTAAATCAAAAACATTAAAAAATGCTGGGTTTTTGCACTGAAAAAATTTTGGGGAAATTTGTGCAAACACATCTGAAAAATTTAAAAAGTGCTGAAGGTCACATCTACTATTGAGACTCTACTGAAGTCACTGAAATCATGCCATTAAATGTTTGCATTTGATAGTCAAGAGGATGTGAGACAGAATGAAAAGAAAAAGAAAAAGAAAAAGAAAAAAAAAATTAGGTCTCAGCCCGACAGAGCTTGGGTGGAAGTAACCTGTCCTAATCTTTTTTATTAGATTATGGGAACACAGGACTGAAAAGGACCACCTGTGCTGCTGAGTCCTGTTCCCAGAAACTGCAGGAGTCATATGCCTAAACATACCCTAAACATACCCCAAGATGCCAATAGCATCTTACATGTCTCTCCATAAGCCATTTCAGTGCTTTTCCATGGCAGTAAGGGTCATCACTCAACATTTTCCAGTTTGAATGAAATAACTTTCTCCTTTACTATCATTCTAGGAAAGTTAGCCTCATTAATGCCTCTTCCATGTATCTGTCTTCACTAAAACTGCTCCTTAGATCTGGAAGGATTATGGATAACAAACAGAATTTTTTATCTACACACTGCCTGGAAGCATTAATGTCAGCAAAAGCAAGATAACTTTCTGAGACCATACAGTAGACTGATAATTTTGAACTTTTTTTTAAAAAATATATTTTGTTTTTTGCATACACAGGGTTAATAGCATACTTCATGCGAACTTCTCAGAGTAACCTAGCATCAAATTGTGAGAACAATTTTCCTGGATCAGCAATTTTTGTCATACAGACACACAAGCCTTCTGAGATTACTATGGGATGTAGATGTAAGAGTGACTGTGGTTTTAGTTATACCATCCCAGGTAACAGACATATAGCTCCAGTAACTGTAAAAAAAGGCTATATACAAATTACAGCAGCAAAACTTCCTTGCATTAAAATATTTAGATTATTTTTTTTATTATTTACAGAGTCAAGGACAGCATACCATTCTGACAGGAAGATACCTGATGTTACAGCAAAGCAACTGGGCCATTAAATAAATGTTTATGGTGCAATACAAGAGTGACAGTATTCACTAATGTTCACACAGTTCCCAGTAACTTCTTTCAAATGATCCCATACTGAAAACATAACTATTGCATCACTCAAAGAACTACAAGTTGATTTAAAAGCTACTTTATTTAACAGATTAAAATACTAGACTGCCTACATGTCTGTGGAATATTGTACAGCTTTTATTGTTATTGAACAAACCACAAAATTTTTCCTTCATATATTTTGAATATATCTCTGTGGATATCACCATGAATATTTCACTGTACATAGTAAACACCAAGAACATTAAATAGCAAGAATGATTCCTTCTTTATATTTACAGATTGTTCCATGAAATTAAACAAGCAGTACTAAGACTGTAATAAAATTTAAAAAACCAAATCAATTGTTCCTTCCTGTAATATTTAAATTAACTAAATTAATTAGAATCCCTTAAATATTTCAAAGCTTTAGTACTCAATTTTAATAACTATATCTAATAGACTAGCTAGAAAACTAGCATTATTTACTGAGGAATTTGTAAGAACAGCCATCATTGCGGTGAGGCGAATGCTGTTTCTCCAGTTGTTCTGACAGGGTCCAGTACTAAATAACGTTAGGGTTTGCTGCATTCTGACTACAGGGAGAAGACTGAACAAAGCAAAAGGGGTACCACTTCTGCTTCTAAGGATCCTGCACTTGAAATGAAATAAAGATGGAATGTAAGGAATTAAGCTTGGTTTATCAGTAAGACCAGCCCACAGTAGCTGCATTCACTCCTACTCAGTGTTTCGACTGGAAGAGGGAAATCGGCAAAAAAGAAAAGGAGAAAGAAGATGTGCACATGTGTGCACACTCAGTGTATATTCTGAAATACACTGCCCTAGAGATGGACCCAAACAAGGAGATGTTATGAAAACCCAGGCTTGTCACTGCAGAGAACAAAACTGAAATCTGTCTTCAAGAAGAGCACCTGAATCCTTCCCCTGGGTAAAGAGCTTTCTGGGGTCCCGAACTGCACCACAGTGAGCCGAGCCAGCACGCCTACAAAAAGACAATGTGGATTTGTAACAGCAATTCTCCCAGACTGATGCTGGTTCCCCAGTTTCAATGTAGCTGTTTATATTGATTTTTTTTTTTTTTTTGAACAATTGTGGAAGGACTTTCCCTTCCCTCCTACTACAGTCTTCTGGAGGAACTGTTATAGAAGACTTCTTTTATGAAAGGAATAAAGGTATAAGAAGTATAGAAGGGTGAAAGCTACTGTAAAACAGATCCATTATATCAAGGCAATGAACAGAATTACCTTGGAAAAAAACCTCTTGGTACAGAAGTGAAGGCAAGGAGAATTGTAAAGTAATAACATTTATCATACGGCAGTCTTCCCCTCTGACTGGTGCTGACAGGGCACTGATGCAAACTTGTCAGATAAAATGCTTTTCTTGTCAGGTTTGGGCTAAAAAATTGTATGGTTAGCTTTGTGTCCAGCTGATGATATAGTCATCATTGTAGGACTGTAATAAATGGAGAAGGGTAAGAAAATAGAGAATGAAATCACAAGCTGAAATTATTCCTACTTTTTAAGTCTGGACTCAAGAACAAGTTTTTACGTTTGATTCACTGCAAGCTGCCATACTATCCACCAGCTGGAGAAATGAACCACAGAAGTCTGCCTGTCTTTATATAGTCTCTGAGGAAATACCAATGCACTGGGTTTATTAAACCCTTGTGAGAAAGCCAAGTTTGAAGCTGCTGGGGACTTGTATCATTTCCAAGGCATGTGGAGAAGGGGTGAAAGGAAACGTCACTTGAAAGAGATATTTGGTATCGAGCATCAACTGTGGAACATCCTCACGATTGTTTAGCATAGCCTGAAATTATAACAGAAAGTGTAAGAAAATATTGTATTAAGAATCAAAGCAAAACCAGCCCATTGTTTGCTTCCCATTGCAAATCTTGCTTTCACATGACATTAAGGAGACTTGTTTTGGTCAATTCCAAATGTCCAGAAGCTGAGCAACTTAGTAGTAATACGATGTAAAGGTCAAGTATAACTATATAGCATCAAGGACTGTGTGTATGAAGTATCCTGTAACTTGAATATGAGATAATAGTTGTAGCTCTTACCTGGACTTTACGAACAAATGATGGAGTCACTCTTTTCTCAAAATCATCTATTGGAGTGTATGAGTTTAGGATCTTAACTATCTGTTAAAATTACAAAAGACTATTTTAGTATGTCACAAAGTGAGAAGACAAAACCAAGAAAGCATTAATATGACATCTTCATTGATATTTAACAGAAGTTTCAGTAAAGAATTTTACAGTAATGAGAGAATTTTGACTGGTCACCTAATGAGTTGTTATATACATGATGGTTGCTACAACTCATTTCCAGAGGCGTCAGCAGGATCAAGGAGATGAAGAAAAAGCTGAATCAATTAAGGGAAACAACAAAAAAAGCCTGTGACAAAGTAATAAAAATACATTGTGGGATAAAAACGTGGGATAGAACAAAGCAGGCAAGTATTCACCATGGGAGCAGTTAAAATGCTAATAATCAGGAATAAGGAGTTAAAAAAATTTAGTTTAACAAGTGGTGATAGGGAATGCTGAGGGATGCTGTTTTTATCAAGTGAAAGGCCAATAGCTCTTTGCAACAAATTATTTTAGATAGCTAAGATTCTGCAATTGGCAGAAGAAAACACGATGGTTCATTACCTGCACAGTAGAAAGAGATGTGCAGTGTTCACATATTTCCTTGGCATCATCATCTGTGATCTTTTTGACCTGAAGGAGCCAGGCTGCTTGAGACAGAGGCTCCAAAGTTTCTTTGACATTGCTGCTTTGAAGATTCTTGTCCTTTAGCCATTCTTCCAAGTAGCTGATATTACATCTGGGTTAAACCATGAATGGACAACAGAAATGTCAGGTTCCCCCTAACAAGCAATTTACATTAAAGACTTCTAAAGAAGAAATGCTTCTGTAATGCAGTGTTCAAATTCATATAGTTTAAGTTAAAAAACATACCTGTAGATCATAAAAAACAAACAATTAATAGCTTATGGATCTGTAAGTTTAATCCCTTGCATATTTCAATCATTTTTTTTTTATTTCTTAAAGCTTGGATAATAGCAAGTTACTAGTTTAGCTGTTGTTTACAGAAAATTACTAATATATACGTGCATTGCCTATTACACTGCGCACTGTATGTCTTTAAAATATTAATTTCCAACTGATCTTATACAGGAAATAAGAACAATCTTTGCACATTACAAAGCAGGGCTAGGCTTATAACTGATGGCCTAAAGGTTAAATCAGCTTTCTTCTAGTAATATTCCCAGATGGGTCAAGATTTTACTGATTTTCTTTCACCTTAATCTGCAGACTATGTAATGGAGAACAAATGAACTGTATCTTCTGCAAAACAGTTAGGAGCATTTTCTCTTGATGCTCGTCACAGGACAGATGATGCCCGAACTAAACCCTCAAAGGCTCTGTCTCAGTGCCTTTCTCGTCACAGAGCACGAAAAATGCAAGTCAGCTTTTGTCTGTCTGCCAGCCAGGGGACACTGCACCTGTTTACTACAGTAAGAAAAAATCAAAAGTACTATTCATCACATCATGAGAGAACTACCATGGAAAAAATCCTAGCATGTCTGACTTTAAACTCCAGACTGTAATTTTCTCTGTCTTTTCCTCCATTAGTGTTTCCATGGAAAGAACAATTCGTATATATGTTGTGTTGGGAAAGTTCAGCCCAAAAGCCAAAGATCTATTTTTTTCAAAAAGAGTAGAGAACAGTTAGCTACTTCCAGTAGAATGGTTACAGAATATCCAGTGACTTAGCAATAAAGGCCACTACATAAAAGTGTTAAAAACTCATTCTCAAGCAACTGCTTGTTGGAACTTTACAGGCTTTACCTTATCTGCATTCCTTTTCTACAAGAGCACATGTCCTTGCGGAGGAAGAGACTATTGAGGGTGATAGCTCCAATCAGAAAGAAAAGCTGCTTCACTGCCTGCTTTAGAAGCTCAGAGTCCAAGCCGTTCTGGCACATAGTACTATAAAAATAGCTGAGCTGTTGCAGGATAGAGGTCATTGTGTAGGTATCTGTGTCGTCTATACTAGAAGAACGTTTACGGAACCCTGTAGGTTTCAAGCCAGAAATTCCCTGAAGACTCTCATATTCCAGCATGCCTGGTACTGAAAGACAACAGAAAACAACTGATAAGACCAACAATCCTAAAGCTCCTTTTAATTATGTTAACTTAATTATAGAACAAAACCTGCTTTCAGGATATTTTAAAAGTTAAATGATCCAAGAAAAATAAGATATTGACAAAGACTTCTGGAGCACACCAATTTTAAAAAGCCTTTTTTTTTTTGTAGAACATTGATTGATTTCAAAGCATTATCACGCTCCAGGAAACATTGTGAGGAAAAAGTCTTTGCAAACCCTGTGGGGATACACCATTCAGTGGAATTTATATGTGCAGAAACACACATGCAGGTACATATATGTATAAATCAACAGGAGAAAGAAGTCTGCCCCATCCTTTGCCTCCATGTATAAGCTTTATTTGTATACTTCACAAGCTACATTTAAGCCTGTGTGGGTTGCTGCTGTCTTACCGATCATGGGCTGAATGTTGTTCTCCATTACAATAATGAATTGGTGATAGATACGAATGGCCAAATCACTAAGAATTTGTCTGTATTCTGAGAGATCAAAATGCTTCAAACAGTTCTTATTCTGTTGTGGAGTGTTACACTTCATAAATTCCTACAAGTAAGTTGTAAATGTAATTATTAGAAATCACATAACATTATAATTATAAATTGTTACTATAATGTAATGTATATATTAGAGTAACTCATTCCATCTCTGGCTGAATAAGAATGAGACTCATCTCAGAATGAGTCAAGGCTACACCTAACTTCAACAGATATTTCCAGTTCTGGGTTTCCTGTACTTAATTTTACAGATTATGTTGAGATTTACTCTGTTCCTGAAGTTTGCTAAAGCCAAAGAAAAGACATGCATAGACTTTAATGAACTCTGGAGCAATTCCTAGATCACTTAAACAGAAAGCAAACTCCACCCCCATAAAAAAAAAAAAAAGCCAAATGCAGTTTTTAAACTATGTTGGAAAAAAAAAATAATTGCATTTTATTGCTGCAAAGGAATCTCGTTTTTGGACTTTTCATCAGCATAGTTCTGACATCAAAAGTGTAGACTGAATCCTAACTTGAGTGAAGTCCTAAATGTTCATTACAAATACAGATTAAAACTCTAAATTCTGGGTTCAGACCTTTCCCCAGCATTGTAACTAAATTATAAAAGACTGTTATTAATTAAGGTTTAATGTTTTCAATTCTCCACTGCTCTTTAGATGTTATCGATGTGACCACAAGAGGGAGCATTGTTGTTTAGACAGTACACAGTTACTGATTCCAAGGCTTTATGGTAGCTCTTTGCTTTAACCCTAGAAGACTATATTCTTACATGCCTATGCAATTTCGGTTCGGTCTACCTAAGTTTATAAAACCTAGCAGTAACATATAGTAAGAGCTTGCAATTTAGAAGAATTTATAAGAATTTTATATTTTGGGATGAAACTTAGCTTAAACAAGCAAGTGAAAAAAGGGTAATTGTTTTGATGCTTTCCTGAGGTTTTCTTCTGTAATCTCATATTGGTAGCAGTAGGTGTTTGAATGGTCACAAATATAAAATAGTAAAATTGTTTTTTATATCCATATATATGTAGCTGGACATCTGAAGTCCAGCTCACATTAAACTCCGGTGGAAGAGATCAAATTAAGTAGCAGTTTCCGCATCGTGTCTTTAACCTACTTTAGCACTTTAATGTTTCCTTGATTTCACTTGATCTGTTGGTTCTATACTGTCTTATTATTTGTGTAAGACACATAAAACCACTGCAGAGTAATATGAATGTCTAAATATCTGGAAGGAACAGTGGTGAGCTGGTGAATAATTATCTATTATCACTATTTGAAGTCTGTCACAAGTAAAGTAATGGAATTATTTGATGAAATCATTCCTACCTCCTCCCCGCTGTACTGCTTCAAACAGTTAAGAAAATAATACGTATTGGAAAGCCAAAAGGACAACATCTCAAAGTCTTCTGAATGCTCCTAAAAATAGTAAGTAATGCAGTCATAATGGCATTGTCTCATGAAGTTAATTTAATAACTAAACTTCGGATCATTACAGAATTGGTATAAAAGAGCTCACAGATAGCAGAAGGAGCATACAGCAACTGTAACATGCTAGCTGAACAAATCATGCTGAGTTTTCAGGCTAATATACACATAGCAAAGATCCCTCTTTTATCTAGTAAACACTGTTTAAGTCTTCTTAAATGACAGACTGGATAAGTAAGTATGAACCAAACAGTTTTACACATTTCTACATACTGTGTGGTAGTGTACTGGAGGCCTTCCTGCAAAAAAGCATGAACAATGCCTGTGTACACAAACAAAACTGAACTACATATAAACACATTTTTAACTATGTCTGTTTAATTTTGTTAGCTAAGTAATCAGAAGCTTTTCTAATGGATAAACTGTGGTATAGATTTGTTCGTGAACAAACTATAGGTGTTCTCTATACAACAAATTCAACTACATAAACCATAATCCTTTTCTGCCTGTGCTACAAAGCATGCCTTGTGTTTTATTGCATTATAAATCCATAGTAAAGCATTCACATGGCTGAATTTGTTATGTAGACAAGACAACAGGCTAACAATTCTTGTTTACAACTTGATCTTGTAAACCGGCTGGCAACATAACTTTAATCATTTGGGTGCTAATGCTGCAGTACCTAAAACATGTCAAGAAACCATTACACTAGTACAACAGCAGTGCAAAAACCTCTTCAACTTCTGATACCTGCCTGCTACCAAACATACTAACCTTCATTTCTGTCCGTCCAGCTTTTACCGGTGCTGAAAGTACAGGTGCATTTCAACTAATTAGCTACTCATTGTAAAACGTAAAATACTTTAAATAATTTTGTCAACAAGCTCTTCAGATAAAAATAATTTCTGTTAATGCATTCTGTGTTGACCACAGTAGGACCTTACTCAGAGGCTTTACAGGGATACAACTAAAAATTTCAAAAAGAGTGTCAATAATGATTATTACTCTATTATAGTAATACTAGCAAATGGAAGTGTGAGCCCTCCCCAGGTACTATGCATGCATCTTGTAAACCTTACGTTAAAAATCAAAAAATACATTATGGCCAAACATAATTCCTACCTTAACAACTTGTTTGATACCATCAATCGTTACATTCATGAAAGATTTCAGCATGTCAGCATCATTCAGATAATCCGCATACCTCACACACATGAATAGGATGTGAGCTGGAAGGCCAGGTATCATATTTACTACAACTCCCCGTGGCTTTAACTCTGCATAAAGGAAAGTCATCAGGTTTATTATCTAAAAATTCACCAATTCAATGTATCGTTCTGAAAAAGACAAGCACTATGGCGTTTATTTCTTCAGTGACCAGTCACTTGATAATTGATTTACTGATTAATTGCTTGTTTCGAAAAACTTCTGTAACAATATTGTTCATATAAGAGTATTAATTAAGTTTCCAGAGTAACAGGAGAGCATTGTAGCAAATTCTATGGTCCAGCATGGGCTACAACAGACAGGACAACTTCAAAAAACAATTTGCATTTAACTACCCACTGGAGGCCCCACCAAATTCTGGCGTTGCTTAATGATACACCTTTGTTCACAAAAATATAAACGTGCACAAGGCTAAAGCAGATGAGAAGAAAAGGAAGATGTTGTTTCCAAGCACTAGTTTATAAGGGTACTAATGTACATGGAAAATTTGTCGAGTTCACTATTAATTATAAGCTAATGCAAAAAGCTGGTTTGGCAGTAAGATTGGTATGGTGAAGTAACTCAGAGGAAGGGCAAAATTCCTCTACAAGAGAAACATGAAAGTACAGTTCCCTTCAGTGAAGAGAATGATACGGAAAGGACAGGCAGGAGAGAATCCATCACACATGGATATAAGCCCAAAGACTTACAGACTTAGTAGCTGACCAGGAAGAAAGTAAATTCAAGTCCCTGGAGTGGTCTTGAGGTTTATAGCTTTATAAGTGAATAAATAATAAGAAAGATAATAGAGTCAGCATTATGTAGGGTCAGACAAACGATTTTATGCAGACAAAGCAATGCTATATTTGAAATGACTGGCAGTAGAAAAAGAGCAATATAGAGCCTCCAAGTCGTATGGGTGGTAAGAGAGTGGAAAAAAGGCAACTGAACATAAGTGAAATAAGGCGCCTTGTAGTTTTTGTTGTAGTGTTCTACAGTGAATATCATTGACTACTGATAAAATTTGAAGTGTTACTAAAATACCGAGGATCAGATTTTGAATGATCCTTTCTTCGTCCTCTTTTTTGTACTCCATCATTCCAATGTACTCTTTGGACAAAGTTGGCACATGAGCTTCAGCTGTCAAACACAAGAGCACTGTTACCTGCAGGTAAAGAGCTAAGCTAACATTCATGTAAGAACAAACAATTGGAGTAAAGCAGTTTTCTCTGTAATAAACAGAGTATCGGCTCTGTTCACAATAACACTTTCAGCTTATGGTTCCAAGCATTATGAGTTAAACAGCATTTATATTATTAATGTGATTAGTTTTGCTGCATTCAGTAGAATTACTTGCACTAAATAAGACAAATACATCTTTACATTAGCCACCTCTGCAATGTTTTGAAGTGTATTCTATAGTGAAGAATTACTTGCTATATAAGAGCTTTGTACAAACTAATTTCAAATCAGGAACCATCCGCCATCTGAAGGTAACAGGAGGTGCTACTCATCTGATGCAAAACTAACACTCTGTTGGCTCAGAGACGGTTTGTGTAAGGGTATGAATTAACTTTTGTTGACAGAACCTGATGCCTCTGGCTTAATCTTTTATCGTATAGTCTAGGTCCCATATGTGCCCATTATTTAGCTGGAAAACAATACAGGAAAGGGCTTTTATATAACTTCTGTTGATGGCTCCCTGGCACTTTTTTCTGAGGTTTTAAAATTTCTAACCCCACCCCAAGCCCTACCTTTTTCTTTTTTTTTTTTAATATACTTTCTTTCAAACACACATTGAACATCCAAATCTGTATCTATAAACAAAACAATTATGTAATATCTTACTTTTTTCAATAGTCCTGGTAAGAGTTTTGATCTGATCCTCCAATTTCTTTATTATTCTATCTTTCATGTCTAGTTTTTCTTCAAGATCCTGTAATAATCAAAGTCAGTGAGTTCAGAGCAACCACAATTAAAAAATGTCTTCTACTGCTACATGTTAATGCCACCATTAAAGAGTACTCTGCTGTGCTTTTAATTATATTTGGTAGAAGAAATATGAAACCTTCATATCTTTTTTCTCACCCAATGAATTGAGAAAACATCCTGCCCATACCATGAAACCATGATTTCTTTCTTTTTAACCTGCATTTCAGGTACAGTTTCTTAGTAACAGTTTCATTTGCTCACCATGTTTTCCACAGTAAGTCGAGTTGTTTCTTGCTTTATCTTGCTTTTTACTTCATCCTGGATTTCATCTTGCATCACACCATTGCTCAGCCCCTCAATTCCTTGGGTTGTGACTTTCAGTCTCTCTTTTTCTTTTATGTCTATTTCATTCTGGGCCTCATTTGTTCTAAGAATAGATAGGAAGCTTTGTCTCTTATTCTTCTTTCATTAAAGTATAGTCGTATCATACTGTCCATTACTTATAAACTGCACGCAAGGCTGTAAGGCAAACCTTACGCTGGATATGGTACTTTAAAGAGTTTAAGTGACTTTGTTATCCCAGCTTATGGCAACTACATTTCTTACATTAAAAAAAATAAGAAATATATATATGTATTTACCGTCTTTGTGTTCTATCCCCTTCTAGCTCATAATGCAGCCGATTAGACATCTCTTTCATTTTTTTCAGTAATAATTAGCAACAAAACCCAAAACAAAAGAAAAACAACAAAATCACATTTGCTTACTGTTCTGTACTAGTATTTAGTAAAACTCTTCTTTCACTCATAATTTTGTTTCATCTAATGAAATTGAATGACATGCCAGATAGTGTATCAGAGAAATATCTGACTACTCCACACCACACAGAAGATGATATGGGATGGGGAATTTTGACACTACTAACTTCTTGCAGTTGATAGTAAAACTACTGGCAAATTTTATGTCAGTTGATTGGGAAGACACTACAGTTAGACCGACTCAGAAACCTCAGCAAAGTATGCTTTCCTAAATTGAGAAGAGTTTTCAAACAAGCAAATTTAGCAAGAACGTTTCCCTCTGTCTCCCACTCTGAATTTTTCAACACCCTCTGAAATCCACTACACAGAGTATGCCTTAAGTTCCAAAATATATTTCCTTTTTATGACTGTTTCCAAAGGACATACTCCATGGCACATACTAATACACTTGCAGACATCCAAACCATAGAACTGAATAACCTAAAAAAGGTTAAAAAAAGAAAAAATACACATACTTGCATATATTTTATTCTTTAATAACAGAAATATAAACTACACAACACATTTTTCATCGTGGTTCTTACATTTTACTATCAAGAAAGTAAGTAATAAGGCAATTAAGTTATCATGTAATATTGTTTCAGCTTTTAAAAATTCAAATATAGAGAATTCATCATGTTCATCTTAAATAAATGTAAGACTAGGGACCATATCAGTACTTTACCTTTCAGCTTTACAGTCTGTTCTTGAAGTCGGTTTTCAAGATCTAATTTTTGATTTTCAAGTTCAGAAACTTGTCGTTTAAGATCTGGGATTACCTTTTAGAGAAAGAGGAGATTTGTGAATTTCACCACCTTCCTTCTTTTCAAATGTCTGCAATAGTTCCTGTGACATTGGAAGACCTTCAACTGCAAATAGCCAAAGACTGCAGAGATGCTGTGAGGGAGTGCTGCTACCTACTTGCCTGACTTGTTTAACTTTTCTGGAGGCATCTGCTGCTGGCCACTCTTAAAAATGAGATAGTGAGTTAACTAAATGTTTGGACTGGCCTAGTACTATGATTCTTCAGTTCTAGTTTGAAGGAAGCACTGTGGCTTTAATTTCCCTAGCTCAATTAACACTGCAAAAAACCTCAATGTCATAAAATCATATTTTAAAAATGACATTATAAGTAACTTTTCCTTATGTTTTCAGTTTTAGTAACTTTGTTTTGAGAATATTTCTTTAGTTATTTTTAACTGAGCAAAAAAATTATATGATATATACTATCCTCTGGAATAACAGCACTTCCTTGTGTTAGATTGCTTTTACACAGTACTAATAATTTGAGTCTGAAGCCTTGCGGGCAATTTGTTAGCATCTTGATACACTTAGCTGCCCTCTGGTGGGGAGAGCCTCAGAACTGCACAAACCTGTAGCCACCATAAAGCCCATAGGTGTCTGGTTTTTCACTACCAAATTATAGAACTTGCCAACATGAGAGATAAAAAATTGCTTTAGAGAGGCTTCTAAGAAAAAGATGCTAACTTCTGTCCTGTGACTACAGGGAAAGCATGAAGTAACTAAATTCTGAACTGGAATGCCTCAGTACAATGAAAATTGGAGCTGGTTGCTGTGGGTTGACCCCACTTTTTATAGCTGAGCATGACATTATATGGTAGGGGATGCCCTTGTGGTCAGCTCAGGTCGGCTGGCCAGGCTGAGTGCCCTACAAACTTCTTGCCCACCCCCAGCTTAACTCGCTGAGGAGGAGCAGAGTAGGAAAAAGAAAAAGCCTTGACACTGTGCAAGCTCTGTTCAGCAACAGCCAAAACACTGTCATGTTATCAATACTGTTTTACCCACAAATCCAAAACGCAGCATCACACAGACTGCTACAAAGAAACTGAACTCCATCTTAGATGGATACAGTACACTGTTTTAATACTGACCTATGGAAAGTTACAGTATCACAAAACTGCTTTTCATTAAGTCTGAAATACTAAAAGTGTTCCATCAGAAAAAAATACATGGCTGACCAAAAAATAGCTTTTTTTTTTTTAATTATCAGATGAGAAGACTAAATTAGGTAGGTATTAAAAAAGGTATGGTGAGCTAACTTTCTTGTCACTGTTAAACGTCTGATTCCTTTTTTTTTGTTAAAATTCTGTGTAAATAAAAACACTAAATAAATACTGGCTTCTTCATGACTTCCATTATAAAGCTGCATTATCTGTAGAAATTATTGCACCCCTCAAAAGTTCCTTGCATTGTTGAGAAACACAACCAAAATATGTGCATGAGCTCAGCAATGGACATCCTGGCAACATTATGAAGTTCAAAACTTCTTTTATAAAATCTGAATATTCAGCGACATAAGAGTACAAGTGTTCAAACGCATTCTAAAGACTCTCAGCGTCTCCCTAGCTATCAACAACAGAAGCCAAAGCCTCTGTGTGCGTACTATACATGAAGTCAGAGTTTGTAAAATGGTATTTTGCCATTCTGTGATTAGAGTCAAATCTCAGTTCAGTTTTATGCAAAAGAAAAAGCAAAAAGCCTCTGTGAAGCTGCCCCAACAAGAGGTACACTCAGATGACAAATTTGGCTGCCTCCTAACACACTACCCCAGCATGCAGGGGAAGAGCCTGTATGGGTGTGCAATCTTAGACGGCCCTATCTGTTCAAGCCTTGAGATTTCAAGGATATGGACTCAAGATTTTGAGGGCTTTGTGCCACAAACACATTTGGATTGTTTTACTAAGTAACAAAAACATACATTGCTTTATTACACCTTGATCTTACCAGGTTTTCTGAAGTTAGCCTGCTAACTTCAAGTCGAATACCATCATTTATGTCATTTTCCTCTCGAAATAATTTTTGTAGATGATTAATATCTTGGCTAAGATGTTCAACTTTAAAGTTCAAACCTTCAATCTCCTTTTCATATATTTCTTTCTGAGACTGAAAATGACTTTCCAATACTCTGTTAAAAAAAGGGAGAAAGAACATCTCAGATGTAGTAAGACCTCAATGCAATGGGTCAAGTTTAATATGTAAAGTGAAAACAAAGTACTGTGGTTAACGTGCAGACATTCCATTACATCACCTGTGCATTAAGGGAGTTGAAAGTTATGCATGATAACTCAGAGGAAACCCATTTCCCTTGACTGACACATACACACTTCTCTCGCTGACTTAGTAAAAGTTTGTTAAAGTGATTTTAAGCTGCTCAGCCAGTCAAACAATGTAACGTTTGTTCATTTTTTAAACAGAAGTTTCCGTTTATTTTCTAGATGACAGCTTGGAGTTATAAAAACATTGAAGAACTGAACTAACCTGGTAGCTTTTTTCAAGCCCTCATAAGCAAACCACAGTTCTCCATCCTCATTTAAGTGTTCCAAATCCTCCGTAGAGAGTCTAGAATACAAAGCAGTATCATTAGCATGCAGGTGAACAAAATGTATTTCTTAAGCTTTTTTTAAAGAGAACTCAGAACAAAATTACCTGCTTCTTACATCTTCAAAATCATAACTTTCAAGAAGCTGTTTTGTAACTTCTGACATCTTTTCTGGGAAAAAAAAAAAAAAAAAAAAAGTTTATTACATGAATAATTTTCTCCACACATTTCAAATTAAGTTTAATTATAAAAATCAAGCCAACCTCTTCCTAAATCTACAAGGTTCTTTCCTGGTACTCAGTAAATATATCTGAGTTACTACAAGAATATGATGAGGGCCTTGGTTCTACTTCTGGACATGTAAGGAACACTAGGTAGGTATACCACCAATACTGATTTTTTTCTAAACACATCAAACTTTCAGCGCAAAGTTACATCTTTCTGTTCTGAATCTGGAGAACTGCTAGAGTTGTACAGATGATTTGTCATGTCAGTTGTACAGATGATTTGTCAGTGCTCAGTTACTACATTAAATGCTGGAGATACAGGTTTGCTCTATGACATTATTAGCATTGAACAAAGTGCACAACAGTAGTGCTTCTTATTAAGTACCTTTTCCAAAACAGAACCCAAGTCAGCAAGTTATTTAAGCGTATTTGATATTTATTGGACCTGAGTTTTTGTCAAAGCTAACATGGAAGAAATCAATTTAAACTGGCCTGGTTCACATCGTATTTGGTAAGTTCTCTGAATTATCTAATACATAGCTTACCCCTCAGTTCTCGCTTTTGTGAATGGGCCTGCTTTTCAACATCCAATTTTTGTGTCTGCAACAGTTCAATTTCCTTTTGCAACTCAGGTATTTTCTGAATCAGACAAAAATTACAGACTGAGACAAGGCGTGAATGACAAGGGCTAAGTATCAGTTAAATCATAAAGATAATTATAATTAAGAACAAGTTCATATAGTAAAAAGGCTTAAAATGTATTGTGTTTAAAGCATCTGGTTCTCAGGCATCAGAGCAGAACAGTGATGTGTTTGTGTCATGGAACTGACGGGGAGAAAAAAATGTGACTCTACACAAAAGTACTATTTTCAGGTTCAATTTATAAACTACATTTATAAAAAATCTCCTGAGAAACTAATACTTCCTTGCAAAAAGGAGGTAAAAAAAGATTCACATATTAAACATATAAATATTCAGGCACAATTACTCTTCAAAACATGCACTTATTCTGCAAGCAATAACTTATTCATATTTTGTACTACATGAAAACAATGCAACATAGTGGTGTATCAAATACAGCTTATTAACTACAGCTTCTTCTAAAAATGCAGAGATAAAAAAATAATCTATAAATAAAACACCCACATTCTCTACTTGCTTTATGTAGTGAAGACTCCAAAATGAAATGCGTCATAGTTTACCTGTGCTTGTTTTGTAAGTTGTCCTACTTCCATTTTCAAGCCATCCTGAATAACAATTTCTTGCTGAATTTGATGTTGTAGCTGAGTTTTTTCTTCTTTCAGAACCTTAATTTCTCCCTTTAGCATTTCAATCTCCTTTTCATAGTCTTGCTTCTGATTTTGGAAATTTTTCTCAAGCATCCTAAAAAAGACAACGAAAAGGTGGTTTTATTTTCCTACATGCATAAGTGAAAGAGTGGGCTTTGGTTTTGTCTTAATTTGAAAGAAATGTTTAATTGATGAAAACTCAAGTGAACCATAGTTACTTGAAAATGCTATCCTACATCCTCAGAATCAACACACAAAACAGATGATAATGGAATGAGAATATCCCTGGATTTCCCTCTTCCCTACATCTAATTCAGGTATTGGGACTGAATTCAAGGCTGAGTTTTTTCCACTTAAAGGCTAATTCTCTAACTCTTTGAGAGTTAGCCTACCTAAGCAGCTTTCCGCTACATTTATGTTCACAGTCACCACTGAAAAAGGACAGAGCAACAGAAAGCCCTGTGTCCTTCTCAGCAAAACATTGTAAGAAGCTTTCCATTTTTAACTAGTACCTGCTGGAATGGACGGGCTTCCAACATAATATAGCTAATAGGCAAAGCAGAAAAACTAGGAAAGAAGTCCTCTTAGTATAGTCTGAAGTTATTTGCAGCTGAAATCAGACTGAGCTGAAATGCCACACAGCTTCCAACCCTCAAGAACAGTGACTGATTGCACTCTTCAGAGAACAGCGTTTACCTGGTACCTAAGGTTCTCTGTCTGTCGTGGTTCATACTGGAAAAGCGTTACTGGGAAATAAACACTTGATCTGAGAAAAGCATGTTGCAAAGCAACAACCATTTATTGCTTAATAATAGAATTTTTAATACTGCAGATGAAATACCAAAGGGCTTAAAAACTTTCCCCCTATACTTTTAGCCAAATGTCCTTTACAAACACCACTTTCCTTTAAGCTGAATCTTTCAATTCTGTCCTTTGATATTCACTTCATAGGAATTTTGACTGGTATGGCCATCAGCTGCCCTCCCAGACCTGACTGAATTCTGAGTATGTTTCCAAAGAAACCGTTATGATCAGGGCTGCCTTTTAGTTCTCAGAAAGACACATGAAAACACAGGAAACTGCAAAAGCAAGAGCAGTCTCAAGTGTACAATATAATTTCCTGCATGTGACTGATGCACAGACAAGCATGTGCTTTTCCTCAACTGTACATGAAGTACTTCAGTACTAGCATTAATGTCCAAGAACACTGACAGATTCGTAAGTGATGTGAGCATAATACATTTACAGAAGGAGAAAGAAAGGCAGGGAAAGAGAAAAAAAAAAGAATGCTGTTTCAAAGCAATAAAATTCAGATTCCATACATTCTCTGATTTTCTTCTTTTTGTACATCATTGAAGAGTTGCTTCGTGAGGTCATCCATTTTCTCTGTCAAAAAATATTTCAATATTTCAAAGACCTTCATGCAAGTATGTGCATTTATTAAAACCGTATGACCGCAATGAGAAGTTTTGTTTTAATAAGCAATCCTTAAAATATTTTAAAGCTGAAATTACTCTCTCAAGTGCCAAAAATTATCACAGTAAATTTGACAAGTAATATTATAGAACAAAAAGGTTCTGAAACACCAAAGTGTTATTCATCTAAAGTATACTTGACCTCATGTGCTGCCTGTGTCCTTTGAAATTAGATTCATAAAAGTAATATATTAAAGGAACCAAGAATGAAGCGACATTTTGAAGGAACGCATGTGCATGAAACAGGAAACACCATAGGAGGAGAGATTTTGCTACTGAAAGAACAAATTTAATTTAATTACTAAATTGAAAGCATTTGCACTATACATTCTAAGCAAGCGAAGCTTAGGACCTACTTTTAATTTACTGTAAATTCTGTGTAAATTGAGCATTTATATTGCTTTTATTAGAACAAAAGTCATTTATCTTTGCCAAAAACCTGACTTTACAACTTTCCCCCATTATAACTCCTTTAAAACTCCTTTTAGTTATTGTACCTTTCATTTCCTCAGTTTTTTCTTGAAGCTTTATTTCTAAGGTCTCTTTCTGTTCTTGTAATTCTTTATTCAGATTCTCAAGTTTTAAGATTTTCTGTACACACAAAAAATAAGAATATACAAAATTACAAAGGAGGAGAGAAAGACACAGGTCACAGGAGGTCTTGCATTTTAACAAGCATATATGGACACCCTTCCCTGCCACCTCCTCCCCAAAAGTGAAGTTACTTAGTAACTCTCAAATCATTCATTTGATAAATCCAATAATGGAAAAGACTATTTAAACTAAAATAAAAGCACCTAGGTGGCAATTACAATGTACCTGTTCACTGTCCTCTTTATATTTTTTCCCTTTCTCTTCATATGTTCTCTTTTGAGCAGTTAACTTTTCAAGATCTAATTCAAGTTTTTGAATTGTATCCATGTCATTCATATGAGTTGAAGCAAGACTGGTCAATCGTTCCAGCAAACCATGATTTTCTCTACTCTACAAAGAGCAAGACAGGTTAAAAGAAAACAGAAAACTGCACACCTGAAACAGTTTAATAGAATTTTGAAGGAAGCACCTGACCTATTTCTGCTCACCATCCCATATCAGTCATGATTATTTCAACCAAGGACTGTTTCCATCAATTAGATTAAAGCTACCATCTTAAAGAAGATTTGGCTGGTATGGTTCTAAAAAATAAGCTGCAAAATAAACATAATATGGAATTCCCAAAAGTTACTAAATATGTTGCACCAGAGCAGTACCTCACACATCTTTCATCCTAATACAAGTAATCCCATCGAGAGATTGGACAGGCTACTTAAGAAACAGTAAAAAAAAAAAAAAAAAAAAAATGTTCATTGCGGATTCTTCTCATTGGCACAACCAACCAAAAAATATAAGGAAACTCAGGATAATTCTTCCTACCCTTGATGTAGGAAGAATACTAGTGGTTTACTGTAAAGGACCATATCCCTTACATATTCTCCTATCTTGTCAAGTAATGTATCGCTATTGTAGTTCACATAAGCCTCTAGTCAACATGAGAGCTCTGAATAAAACACATATGATAAAAAAAAATAGTACAAATCATAAACTGATTCGTGTCCCTCACCTGCTCTTCTATCTTTCTCTGCAGTTGCTGAACTCTGTATGAAAGCTGGATATTCAATACAAACCGCCGAATATTCTGAAATCTGCGCCTAGCAAGCCATGCACGGGCATATTTCTGAAGGATCACAGCCTTGTGTTCTTCAAGCATCTTTAAAATAAAATATTAACATCTGTCTATAATTATCTGTGGCTCAATCAGCATCAATTATAACTTTCTGTGAATCTGCATACACTGGTAATGACAATGCTTCTCATAGAAGTATCAAAATACAGAAATACCTGAACCACCGCAGTAATCACACTAAATGATCTGCATCAACCAGAGTTCTTGGTAGCTCAGAGATTAGATCTAAGCTACTGCATTATCAGTATTTTTATAGTAATACAAAAATAGAGTAGAAGGTATGAGAACCAGACATGCAAAAGGTAAAGTATTAGGTAACATTGCCCTTGTCTCCATCTTTCTTATAGAGCAATAGCTGTTTCTAGTTACTGAAATAAAATTTTTGATAGGCTGTACCTTCCGATATTTTTTTCTTGCTAGAAATCCTCTTGTATAAGCTTGAATTGTTACAGCAGCCACATGGATGAGCTGGCAGAGTCTACGGACCAGGTAACCCCGACAGTATTTCTGAATAATTATAGCTGCCCACGTTTGCTTCAGAGTTCTTGCAGTTATAGCTTGCCTTAATTCAAAAGACAATAAAATGTACTTAGGTCATGTTAGATTTTTCATGCTCATTCCCTCAGTCAGCCAAATCACACACACACAAAAAATATATTGAGAACAAGCATCCACTGTCTAAAATACAGCTTTTTCTTCAATCAAAGTGAAAGAGAGGGAATTATCCACAATCTTTGAAACCTGTTCCACAAGCAATTGTTCTGATGGTGTCTTTCTGAAAATTTCAAAGCCTACACACCTTCCTCTCAGTCTGCTCTGTGAATGACTGGTGCTGTTTCTCCACTGCATAATTCTTTGTAATAATTTGTACACGCCAATTTGTAGAGCCTTGTAAATTGCTTTTCCTTTCTGCTAACTGACTTCTCTGGCTTTAAAGCTATGCAGCCCAAGCCAACAACTGGGCCACACGTCATTAGCTAAGGACTGAGCTTACAGGTAGACAGGCGTCTCGGCAATCTGGTGGACAACATTTGAAATCTGTTAGAGTATTTTCTTCTTGTAAGCTGAGTAACGTGATCATTTTCAAGTCCATAATTACAATCACGAGGAAATGGAAATACAATCTGAATCGCTCTTTCGTAAAAATTACACTTCCAAATTAGCATTGGGCATTAGTTTGACCTTCTATATCCCTTCAGGCATGCCCTAGCAGCAAATTCATTTATCAGCCATAAGTACCGTACAGTCCGCTGCCCCCGGAAATACTGCTGTATTATAATAGTTGCTTGTTTTACGCGAAGGAATTTCTTCCGCTGCAGCCAGCCTCGAACACTCTTTTGGATCATGATGCATGCGTGTCTCAGTTTATCCGAACGCAGTTTTTCTAAGTAAGCAACCTGTCCTGCTCTGAAGAAAATTTTTGTTCTCCCAAACTGATATTGGTTATGATCCTGAAAAAGAAAACAATAGGTATATTAAGCTTTTAGTTTATTATTGTAGACCAGACACTCTCTTACTTTTATAAATTGTCACTTCAGGCAAGCTCTTCTGAAATGACATCATCATGCTCAGTAAGAATATCCTCTCTACATTCTTTGTAGATAGGAATATATGGGGAGAAAATTCACTTAGCAGGAAAGAACCAAAGAATTACATCCAAAAATTGCACCCTAGTGATCTCAAATTAAAGGGAGTATCTGGACTTATCATCAAGGCCTTGAAAGCAACCTCTTCACCCCTCCTACATGTCTGGTTCCTTGGGCTCAACACTACTTTTTGGTGCACGTCTGGCCTTGAATCAGCAAGCTGTTGTGAGCAAGAACTCAGGGGAGAAGCTTCTTTTAAGCTCAGGCTCTCACCCTTGGCCTGTACCAGAGCTATGCTGCATTCCACCATCAAAAGGCCTCTTGTGTGCATAAACTTCTAATACTTGACAAATGTATACCATTTACTGTTCACTGGTTTAGGTAGCATATCTTCCATTTCACAAGTGAAGAGGGGCTAAATCATCTGTCTACAGTCACATCATGACTGTGTCACAACACAAGGTTATTGACTCTCAAGCCTATATGCAACACTAAATCAGGAAAGAAAGTAATAGTGTAAATACCTTTCCTATTTGAGGAGATACTACTCTTGGCAAAAGAGACCCTTTATTAATAATAGATGCTATAATACATAATGGGTCAGTGCATACAAACTAACCTGGATTAGCCGTTGCAAAACAATCTTGCAAATCTGCTTCTTATCGTTTATGGAGAGTTCCTGCTGTGTCATAAGAATGCTGTAACGGCTGAAAAACTCAATGTAAGTCCACCTGGCAAACAAAAAGTTAAATTAAATTAATTTAAGAGACACCTAAGTATTTTTTGACATACGGAGGCCCACTGCTCTCCCTACCTGGATGGGTAACTCTGTGCACTAATCCGAATAGTTTCCAAAACACCACATGCTCGCAGTTGCTGAGCCACTCTTTTTGAATCAAACCTAAAAAAATGCAAAGTTATATTTTACATTTTTGCTGGGTTTGGCATGCTATAATAATTATAACTGTTCTACTAGCTGGATTTCTATTTCTGCCCATAGGATGCAGGGTTCCCTACTTTTTATATGGTGTCTTTCTTGCCTTTTTTTTTTTTAATGTGTGATAGGGAATATCTGGGTTTTCTTGCTTCAAAACAAAAGGAAGACTATACTTATTTTTCTCTTACAAAAAGTCCTGTTTCTTTTCAATATTAACTGTGAAAGCTCATATCACCAAGTGGCAAAGAATCATGCCAGTTTCAGTGCAAAACATACACAGAAATAAATTCCCTCAGCAGTCTATTGTGAAATAACTCTCTCTAGGTACTCTTTAGCACACTGATTATGAATAAACCAGGATTTACTCATGAATATCCAGGTTCAAGATTTTTATCCACACAGGGCATGGAAAGACCCTTTCCAATTCTAGACCAGAGCTGATGTGCTCACAGAGCACTACACTACAGTGTTGATCCAGTACTAGCTAACAGATCCCTGTGGCTGACAGATGACTATATCATTCTTTCACAAACTTATGGTAAGCTGTTCTAGTCTAATTCAGACATGTTTTTATATTATCCAAGCTATCTTCCCCCTCATTGCTATTATGCAGAATAATGAGGTCTCACCACAGTGATAGTGAAACAGTGCCATTTGTAACATGTTTTGCACAGACAGATTTTGTCTGGCTTCAAGAAAATTAGCTAATACATTGAAAATAAATAATTTAGAATCAAAGTTTCCCTCCTCCCTTCTACTCAGATATGACAAAAGCTTTTATTTCATTTGTCATTACACTACCTTCCAGCTAAAAGCAGTATAACTGAAACTAGATTCCACATCTGCTCACAAACCAGACCAATAGCTACACCAAGGTTAACTCTTGCTTACAGTTAGTGGCTATCAAGCTAGACATAGGAATTATGCAAACTATCTGGCATATATGATTGTATTACAACATTAAAGTGCTAAAAATTGGGGGTGGGGGGAGAAGCCAAGGCTATGCTCAACACTGCTCATAGCTTTCTGACCTCTAAAGCTTCTCTAAATACTTCTGTGGACAAAAGGGAAGTTCACAAAGAAAATGGCAGTGACTTTTATTCTTCAAATATGAACTGGTGCTAATCCATACTGTACAAGAGAAAACACACCTAAACAAAGTATCCATCAACTTAAATCAAAGGTGGACAATCTTTCCCCTAAAAACGGTATGACAAATGCATAGACACTAATATTCGACCAGAAAAAATTGATGATAATACAGAATTTTTGAGGTATCGATAACTACTACTAAATGATTCTATTTTTCTAAGACGACAATTTATTTTTTTTTTAATTCTGCAGTCTTGAAAGGAAAAATACGTCCTGTATGGGATGCTGTTCAACAATAAGAATTTAGATTGTTGACATGTAGCTACTGTGAAATAGAAAAATAATCTTTTAATTTTAAAGCTAATATAACAGCTCAACACCACTAACATACTTACTCAAAAGGCAACTTCTCATCATTTGGCTTTATGCATCGTACATAATGAGGGGTGGTTGCATTAAGTGTCGCCATCAGTAAAGACAAAGAACTCCGGAACTAGAAAACATCAGACATAACAGTTTTGCTAATGAAACATTTCCAGCTAAGGAAAAAGTCAAATCTTAGGGTTTTAATTCTTTGTTAGGTTTTGGCTGAACGCTGGGAGATTTTCTTATGGATTATATCTTAAACATAGGAAATTTAACAGTCCTACTGTACCTAACAGTCTCCTATATACAAATTAAACACACCTACTTATACCCAGACCTGGAGCACTGCACTGTGGCTGGCTCTTGCTATACTGAAAACTGGATAGTCCACCGTGAATAGTAACAGAATACAGCACCGTAGTCTGAGACTGCCCAGTACGCTTCTCTGAAAGTACGAGCATCACAGAATAGCACATTTATGTAGTACCTTATTGCCAACAGTCATTCGGAGCTGTTTGTTAAGTGACTTGAGAACAGGTCTTGCAGATTTGATGTTTATAGTTGAACTGAAAGGTGAAATGGACACTGGATTGTCTTGAAAAAAATTTGCACACAGATGAAACTAAAATTGTGGTGAAAGAATCACAGTTAAATACTGTGTAGCTGTAATAACATTTAAATAAAAATTACACCTACTGTAACATAAAACGCAAACCACATCCATCTTAATGCTTAGGCCAGGTATTGCAGGACTTGGAAGTGGAACTTTAAGCCACACGCAAACAATGATTGAAGAAACAGTTGCAACAATTCTGAGTCTATTGTGAAGCACTCCCACGTTTCACAGACAAAACTCAACAACTGTTAAGCTATTTCAATATGAGGAAACATGGAATAAATATAGAACAGAGTTAAAAATAAGACCACTTAAGGTTATATTTTCACAATATTTATTTTAAATTAAGAATATGTTTTTTGGTCTGATTAAGTTAGCTTCTTAATAGCAATCCTGCAGTCTGAAGGCTGTAGACCAGAAAGGGACAGGGCCTTCAAGCAGATGGGAAGTGGCAGGCACATATACGACATCTGATGTTTTCCCTGCCCTGGCATTCTCTTAACCTCTTTTGAAGAACAAACAAAGGCAGCTGTTAATGATAAGCCACCTACCAAAGCTACATGTAATGACTACAGAAAAAAAATATTAAGTTAATTGTTTGGTTTCAAGGATTCCAAAATGCTATTCAACGGAGATACTAAGAAAACAAATACACTAACATAACTAGCAAAGTAGATGCACGTGTATGAAAAAGTTGAATACTGTGTTTTTTCATCTTGCATGTTGATGTTAAAAATACACACCTGTAGACTATTAGTAAAAATTAAGACTAAAATAATTGATTCAACCTATTAAAAAAAATCTTTTTATCAGAAAAAATTATTTTAAAATCAGATCTGAATGAATTCCAGTAAAATCAGATATTCAGAAAATTAATCATTACTGATTGCTCACAAACCTTGCTCTCTTTCAAGACTTCAATCAATACTTCATGTACTGTATCTCTGTTTTTTTCCAGAAAGCCTTCATATTTATATTCTACCTGTGCAAATGGGTGAAATCATTAACTTTTCAGCAATCCATGAACAGTTAGCAAAACAGTAATTTTTACTCTCTAAGCTGCGGGGGCCAAGAGGTCTTTACTAGTCTTAAACGCGATGGATGAAGCTCTGTTTTTACCAGTTTCATTACAGCACGCATACGTACACGCATACTGCAAATTTAGAAGCAGGGCAAACTGTCAGAATCCACTATCAACTGAAATTTCCTCCTGCCTTCATTAGAAATTTCTTTCCTCGTCTCTTCATTACGCTACAATTTCAAATCAAAATACCAAAAAAGGAATACTACATTTGAAATGTAAATAACTGAGACTAAAATGTGTACAGACCACAATCTTAAGTATTTTCTTTAGACATTGCACTCTTTTTCTGCCTCTATCTTGATGATTTATTTTTATACTCTCAAATTCATTACCTTAAGCACTTCTGCTTAAAACGCATGTTACAGGCAGTATTACCAATAAATAAATATGTATCGAAGGCAGATTTTATAGAAGTTCCAAACTCGTGGTTACTATTTCCTCTATTTTGTAAGTTTGCTTCTTTTATGAATGAGGTACTGCTAGAAACAAGGTGAAATAATACTGAGTTGTTTACACTATACCTTATCAGCAAAGTGTTGAATGATGAAAGATGTGTTTGACATCCTCGGCTTTTCAAAGAGCGCATTTTTATTGACAAAATTATTATACAGCTTTTGAAGCCAGTTTTCATCTGTTCCATGAGGTAACTGTAAAAATGAGAAGGGCAATCTCTAACAAAACTCTGCTGGACTGTTAAAAACCGCAAAACTGCTTACTATCAATAAATTCTGCCTGAATAATGCATCTTCAGTGAGTTATGAGGCCTAATAACAACCAGTTTTTGTCTTTTTAGAACAGCCAGTGGCTCCTCGTAGCAAACCATTTTAAGAATGGTGGTCATATTAATGTTAATTAGAGTTAAGTCTCTGATGAGTCATAAATCATTTTGTCCTGAGAGGATGCTACCTGTAATCAGGAACAATCTGATCCCTGAGAATGCTAATAAGCAGAATAACAGATAAGCTAACGAGTTAGGGAATATTCCCTAATTTCTCCCATATTACTCCATGGTTTGGATTCTGAGAAGCATGACTTGCCAATATCACCAAAGCACCTTTTAGAGACCACTTTAAGAGAGCTCACCTTTCCCTGCCCTGTTCTTTACTGACAAAGCTACTTCAATAGGTTTGGAAGCCTAAGGGAATCACAAATATGTAGGAGAAAAGAAAATACAGATTCAGGAATTGCTACAGTCAGGATAGAAGCACAGAAAAAAAAAAATAGTGAGACTAAAGAAGAGAAAGCAAAGAAGTAGGTTTGGTGCATTAAACAAGAACCTACCTAAAAAAAGGAAGACTGGTTTTTTTGTACCAAAATTAGTGATTCGTGGAATAACTGAATTGTAGAAATATTGGAGGAAGAGACTCCTGGAGACTGGGTAGTCTAAATTCCTGCTTGGAGCAAGACTATCACCAATACTAGATCAAGCTTCTGTTTGAACTCAAATCTGGAAAGTATCCAAGGATGGGGATCCCACTGCACCTCTGCTTTACCTGTTCTAGTACTGCACTACCCTCACAATGAAGAAATCTAGTTGCTGGGTTAGATTCTAGCTAAGAATCTAGTTTTAGGTTCTTAACTTTACAAGATAAAAATAGACTTAAGTGGCTTACAATTAAAATTACCAAATAGAGGGCAAACATTGATGTTCTTTTTATGAAGAAAATGCTTTACTTCCCATTTAAAAGGAATAAAATACAGATTAACCTACAAGCTTTTTATGAGCTCATAAATACAAGAATTTTTAAATTACCAAGCACTCTTCATCCAGAAGTTCTAAAATGCCCATTTTAGCTTCAATAAGGTCAATGACGGGCTGGTTGTCATAGAAGTCTATTAAAGTCCATGGGATATCTTCCTTCATATATTCTTCTTGTTCAAGTTTAAAGACATGCTAGATATGTGAAAATTAAGAAAATGCAGGGTTACACTTAAGGAAGCAAATATATAATGCGTGCATGTGTGTGATTGCATATATAAGATAGAAACAAAGTATTTATGTAGCATATTTTTGTAGTATAGTATATGCCTGTCTTGTAAGAAAACAGAAGTTTTCATTTGTATATATGTGTGCATGTATATATATGTAAAAATAAAATATTTTTATCTATTACTGGATAGCCATTATCCAGAAATATGCATTACTCAAATACAAATAGCATTTGCTATTATCCGTCATTGATAATTTCAAAACTGAAGCACAGTAAGATAAAGAACTGTAACAAATGAAAGAACATACCAGGTTGAATTGCTGCTGCAGTTTTTCATTAGCATAATTGATGCAAAATTGTTCAAAACTATTCACATCAAACGTTTCAAAGCTGAAACACATGGAATAAGAAAAAAAATAAGGTGATGCAACAGTATTGGAGAAAAAAAAAAAATCCCTTGACATTTAAATGCAAATGGTAGTATCCTTGTAAGACTTTGGAGCTATCCTAATATTTCTAAGAAATTAAATAGCCGTAACACTAATGAAGATGCTAAGGCATTTCAAAACTTCCCTAGAAGTTAATGTTACCAAACATAACAGAGCTAAAAAAATCCAGTTAAATCTAAAAGTATCATATCAAAATTTAAATTTAAACCTCACTCACAAAAAATACTAATATTTATAGTTGCTGAACACTTCCGCTACTTTGGATGCTAAAGCACTTACATGACTGTGACCTTTTAGTAAAACAAAACCCTCCAAATTCAATAGCAACACAAATCGAAAAGTGCCTCTTACCAACTCCAAAGAAAAGGCACAACTTAAAGTAAATTTGTTTTCAGAGAAATTCTTACCCATAAATGTCCAAAACACCAATAAAAGTATGTTGTTTGCCAGGGAACTGCAAAGCTTGGTTGATTCTTTCCACAATAAAGTCAAATAAATGAGAATAGATCTTCTTTGCCAGAGCATCCCTCGCATTAACAGCCTGAGTTCTTGTCATTGGCTTTATTACAGTCTCTGAGGTAGTGATAATCTTTCGGTGGCACAGCCATTGTGCCATTTTGTCACAGTTTAAATCCAAAAGTTCACAGAATATATTGAGATGTTTATCTTCCAGCTTTAAAGAAGATAAATAAATATTATTAGATTACATTTAATACTTTAACTGTTGTCTAGACAGTGAATTCCTGGCACCACTGACATCAAACAATGACATATTTTTAGATAGACTGTTCACTTGTTCATCTGGCAAAATATCAAGAGCTAAAGCAAGTAATACTGGATAGAGCTCCTGATACAGGTTAGAAAAACTTAGTCTGGATGAGATGCTTTGGATTAAGACATTGAAAGAAAAAGTTACTTTAGTCTATGTTTAGGTGTCTTTGCTTTTTAAATTTGCATAATCTGCTGGGACACGTTCTGAGCAGCTTTGACAATGCTCTGTTTCCTGTATTGTGCAGACAGTCCCAAATGGCTTTTCCAACAGCTGTGGCACAATTGGATATGGGGTTCTCTTAGCCATATTCTGCCTTTTATTCAGACTTTCTGAACTGGGGCACAAAACAGGATTCACATAAACACTTGCTCTGATTCTATACCGATGGAGAAATCTCTCAAGTGTAGTACACCAGATTTAATGCTGCTCTGAGGCCCAGATATGAGGAAAAGTATTGCTAAAGGACTTTAGGCACAAAACATAAAAGAAAATGCTCGTATGTGAATGAACTACTTCCTTACACTGATGGATGACCTTTCATCTCCAACAGCTGTTATTTCCACGTTGCCTAAGTGTAGGATTGCTGCCAGCATTTTAAAAACATCCATCTGAAAATCCCTCTTCAGACCTAAAAAAACAATTCTTGATTATTTTAAATACTCAGAAACAGCATAATTAATTAAAATAGCACAATGCTGGATTGCTTGTTTTGTTGTGTAGCCAAAAATTGTACAGCATGTCTGCAGACTACTATGCAAAGCCTTGGTTCTGCCTACTTTCTCCTTGTCTGATCAAATGAGAGATTACGCATAAATTCCTGTATCTCTCCAAATGCCAGCTCAAGTCTGATTTGGCTTTCACATAAGCCATATAGGGGCAAAGAAGCTTCCAATTCCACTTCTGTCACAGCATGTTACCTTAAGGGCCACGAAGACTCCAGCCCGTAGTGATTCTGACCCCTAACAATGAACACCAATTGTTAACAGCCATTTGCTCTTGCCTAGTACTTTAAATAACAGACCGACAGTGCAATGTATAAGCTATGAAGGAAATTGTTTTGGTAATTACTATTAACATTTTGAACACTTCAGAAACAATCCACCTTTGCCCATTTCAGAAAAAAAAAAAAATCCCAAGAATTTACCCAGTAAGGCAAACGTCTTCTGAGTCTCCACCATATTTGCTCTGTCATCAACTCCTTCTATTACTGTGCTGCCACCCATTCCTGTGTAGTTAAATTCTTCTGCGCTTCCTATAGATAAGGAGCAAAACTTGTAATGCTGGAAAATTCGGGATTGGGGATAGCTGCTTGTTAAAGACTCTTATAACACCAGAAAATTAAAGATGTTGTCAGATGACAGCTCTTCAGCAACAAGCTGGAGGTCCTCTTTTTCCAAGAGAAATCCATGCACCTAACTCAGTGAAGCTGACATTAATTAGTATTCATAACTCCTCGCAATCTTAATAGTTGATCTAACAAACAGGAATGAAGACTGAGTAAACACATACCTAAGGTCTGCTTCTCCCAGGTGGCATTAAAGCTTCTCTGGAAATAAATGAATCAAGCCCCCTAAACTGTCATTATGGCATGTGTCACTATAGAAATATTAGAGTAAGATTTTCAAAGACACATAGGTACTTGATCATGCACTATTCAAGTTACTAGGGATTTGCTCCCAAGTTCCATGCAGCAGGATTAATAGCTAAGTGACTTAAAAATGCAAGTCCCATTGTAAGTCTGTGAGATTTATGCTATAAAGCGCTTAACATCCTAGCGCTTGAAAATCCAATCTTCAAAATACTGCAATGCAAAGATGAAGAGTAGGTTATTTTCTTTAGACATACCCAATTTAAGATGCTTAAATTCAGGCTGCATAGCAGATGCACACAACTGATAAAATATATGGTAGTTTCTCTCATTCTCTGACTGTAAATTAAAACAAAGAATACCATTACAGGCAGAAAAAAAAAAAAAACAAACAAAAAACCAAACCAAAATCCCAAACAACAATGAAACAGAAAAACATTGGATATTCAACATTACCGTAAAGAGATAATGATACTTGAAGGCTAAATTCTGCTGCAACATTGTTTGGCAAAGAAATTGCCCAATATTAAAATGGCAGATATTAGACTTCAACAAGAACTTTGAAAGCAATAAATTCAAGTATACTTTATTAACAATATGCTGAATTCACTCTCCAAGGCTGTTACTCTAATGATTTCTTGAGCCTGAACAACCATCTACTACTAAGAACTGACAAATACTGTAATGAACAACTGTGTAGGAGTGCCAAGCTGAAACACTGCCCCGTGGTAACTCAGAAAACTCTCTATTTCCAAACCATCCTTCAGGCAGCAGATATATAGAAGTATTTTTCATAGTACTTAAAAAGTTAACAATACTACTAAAAAGAAAAACTTCATAAAAATAGTTTAATAAAATTAAATGTTTTCTTTAGTAGATTATCACAACTATGCTCTGGCACTGTAATGAGACACGTGCAATAAGCCTTGGCTTATAAATTTTTGGTCATTTTTTTACCGAGACTCCCTCTGCCCTATATATGCTGTTCCTTCCCAGATGCAATTGGCATGAGTTACTGTTGTGACTGAAAGTCAGAAATTTCTCAAATACTTCTTGCTTTTATCTCAGAGAATTGTCCCTGAGATATATCCTCCACATAGCATAAGGAAGAACATGGAATAAACTAGTTTCTTATTATAAATAAGACTAGCTCCTATTAAAAAAAATAAATCAAATGATGATTAGACATACTATTCAGGACTTCACATAACATTTTCTCTATGAAACTAGTAAAGGACAGTACATTAGTAGCTGTGCTGACATTGAGTGTTTTTAAGTTTACTTTACCCACCTGAAAGACAACTCTGGATTTCTCAAGCAGGTATGTTCTCATGTTAGCTCCAATGATTTGGTAACTCTGATCAAAACTGATTTCAGTGTATTTTCCAAATCGACTGCTATTATCATTCCTTGTGGTTTTTGCATTGCCGACAGCCTACAGAAATTATAAACTTTTCAAATTTGTTTTACTTGCATCTTTCACAAGAATAACTTTGTCAAAACATGACTCAACTACAAGTTCCTAAAATCAAAGGTTCTCAAGGATCAATCTAGCATTGAGCTGTGAGATTTAAATTTTGAGGCCCAAATTTGAAGATAAACCTCCAGTCAAATAGTACAACACTACATAAACTGAGAATTAAAGTACATCTTCCCACCACAAGGAACATTAACCAGTTTCTATTCCAATTCATAAAAACAAACAAACAACTTGTTCAATATTGTTTTCTCATCATCCAATTAACAGGATGTGGTCAGATAAAACTCTGGAGGCAAACTAGTGTTTCCAAAGGCCACTGGTAAATTAGGCAGAACCTGGGTGCTCCTGAAGCCAACTACCTCTTTCCATCAGTAACAGTCTAGATGTCTAATCTAATGTTAGATGTCTAACTCAGGCAGCTAAAACATCCCTAAAGATTTCAAACAGAGGTTCCTAGCAGCTCTCAGAATTCTTTCCTTGACGACTACAGACTTGACAGATACTCTCTGAAACCTACCTCGGTTATTGGATTGGATGCCAATACTTTATCCTCCACATGAGCATTGCTGCTTGACTTACTCACAGTGGCAAAGTATCTCATAGTGTATCTTGCAGACACAGTCTTTCCAGCTCCTGATTCTCCACTGACTATAATAGACTGATTTTTGTTATTTCTGAAACCAAATATCCAGACAGTTTAAATCAGACATGTCTAAAATGCATGTATAAATGTAAGAATTATATACAAGAAACAAATGTGTGAAAACACAGCTGTGGTGAACTCTCTTATCTGCTCCATCTTCCATCTGTTCTTCTCTTACTCCTCTTCAGTCGTAACCTCTAGGCTCATGTCATTGCTATTCACTCAGCTAAAGCTGACAGTGTTTTGCCCCTCATCAAGAATGAAAATAGTTATGAATTCTAGAAATTCTTCAGCTGGTTAAGGAATTACTTCTCCTCTAGTTAAGTTAGCCATTCAAAGGTATTCTTAATAGCCAATGGCACAGACACAGTTAAATTAAATCACAATTAACAGTGACTGCCACTAGTCTTCTAGTGTTATTTACAGACATGAAGCAACATACTGAACCTTGCCATTTGCTTGTACGCTTCTTCTGCCACAGCAAATATATGTGGATCCATGTCCCCCATGTTTTGCCCACTATATGCATGGATAATGGCATCTCCATATATTGGCAACTGTTTATAGGGATTTATTGCAACCAAAATGATTCCTGCAACCAAGTCCACAAAACAAAAACAAAAGAAAGGTTAGTTCAATGAAATGCCAGTTTCCGGCAACAACAGTTAAACTGATACAAAGTAGCAATACTTTCTAAATTAGGTAGAAGATCCTGATCAATCAAGTCTATACTCATACAAAAATGAGTGTACAAAAGTGAGAGTTAACTTGAATGAATTAAACTATGCTTGAAGAAAACATTACTCATCATATTGCAAACTAACCCAAGATTATTATTTTTTTTAAGAATTTTTTTTAAACCCTGCATTTTACTTTGCTTACCACTATAGGTGTAGATAAGCTTAGACTCCACAAAACGAACTTTAAGATTGTGTAGAACAGCTGGTTCATGGAGATAACTAAGTGCAGTGAGATCATTTTCACCAACAAGTATGTCAGGATTTCGTAGGGGTGGCAAAGCAGCTGGATCAACAGGGTAATTAAGTTCCTGTCAACAAAAATGACTTGAAATATCATAAAATGCATTATGTTTGCATAAACTCAAATTGATCTTCTACCTTTACACGAAGTTACAGGGTTGACAGAGCCCTGTCTGGTGTTGTATTTCATCAATTCCATATATCCAACTGAACTGAGGGGACTTGGAGATCACAAAAGTAAGACAAGCTCTTCGTTGTTCATTAAAAAGAAAGCTACATTCTCTTTATTTACAATATTTTGTATTGAAATCTGTAAAAATGGGAAATGTGTTCAGCTCTCTAAACACATGCATATTTCAACTACAAATGAAATGGTAGACCATCTGCAACTGAATGAAAGTAAACACCTGGTCAGAACTTAAGTCAGCTCTAAATCTACCCTTACTTGCAACCCTTCAGTTTTCTTTACACAAAGTTTAAAACTCACTTCTGTTTCTTTCAACAATCATACATTTAATACTTGTCTTTACAGAACAGGAAAGCAGAAATACAGAAATACCATTTTCAAAATATTAAATCTGTAAAGAACTCAAGATACTCATATTAACAGGTCTTATATAAAGGAACAACTGCAGAGGAAAAAAAATAAGTAACAGCTAGCTCTGTGAGAAATAACTATGCCTGCCTTGTACTTCTGATTGACTCCAACTTGAGTTTCAGTGCTTGTTTCAAAAGTGCAGTGATCTTCAAGGTGTGTGTTCTATACCAACATTATACAGATAGTAGAATTGCACTCTTCGTATTTTTAGGTAACTGCTGTTTACTGTACAAATTTCACTATGATAAAATTCTGGTCACTGCAGGGTTAGCATAAAAGAAAATATGGACAAGTCACTTAGATCCTGTAATGAGCCCTATGTTTCTACATAAACATATCTCAGCAAACCCCACAATAATTAAGGCTTTTCTCCTTACAGTTCCATCTTCTAACTGCACATGGAGAAAACGGTCTCCAGCTTTGTAGTTTTTTGTGATTTCCGCAGACTGCCAAACTTCTTCATTATCAGGGATCCAAACCCTATTGTACTAGAACAGAAAAACAAGATAATAGTTAGCTTAGCTATTATCGTAATACCAGACTTGCATAAAAAGATAGTTTTCAAAAGTCAAGTGCAACCTAAAAGCTGAACTGGATGCCAGGACTTTAGAGGATTATTCTTAGCTCTGTCCCTTTCAGTGGGATGTATTTTTGTGCTTTAGTTATTCTTCGTGAAAGAAAAAAAAAATGAGAGCAGACTCATTAACCTCAGACATGCTTGTTCTGCTCCTGTCTAGTGTAAAGTCTGCAGAACAACACAGCCTGCAGGAAGGTGAACAAGGGCCAGACTGTTACCAGGCTCTTCAAACCCTCTAACACTGAACAAAAAGAATGAAATACGCTTAAGGCAGAGCCCTGATTTCTAGGAGATTTCAAGTCAGCAAGTACCAGAGAAAGCATCTTTTTTACCAGAATTTAGACAATCACTTCCCTGAATTCAAATATGGCATACTGAACTTAGAAAGCATTTTGCCATAGGCACAGATGTATACACAAGAAAGGCTCAGTACAGTTACCTTTCTTTTCATGGGACTGAAGTGCAACATCCAAACATCTTCCCCTGTTCTAGGGCAAACTTCAAAAACTACTGGCAGGTTTCTTTCTTTACAAGCAGTCTGTCGGCTTAGCTGAGCTCAGACCCAGTAACAGACTCCAACTGTCTCAGGAAGAAAAAAACCTTCCTAAAAGCACTTACTTGCAATGGAAGCAGATGAATTATACTCTTCTTTTAGGTATTTGAAGAATCAAGACAACAGAATTACCTCTAGCATTCTGAAGCATAAATGTTTGAATGTAAATTACACTGTTCAAACCACCTAGTTCTCCTATGCTGGAGTTAAAATGCTGAAGCATTAGCAACAGCTTTAAATACTCTGCCCTAGAAACTGTAGGAAACAGCATTCCTAAAAAGGACATAACACAGCTGACAACCTCAGTAAGTCAGGAATTTCTTCACTGATGAGTGTATCCTTCTTGTCCCGCCAGGGTTTAACAAAGCAGCATCCCTAAAAGCCTCCCTAATCAACTCCCGCATCAAGTATGCGTTAAGAAATACTGGTTTTAGTAACATTGAAATAACTTCTGTTTAGGGATTTGCAATTTGAGATTACTTCTGACATGTCACCATCTTTCTTAAGCCTTGGTACACAGTATTTTTTATCCCATATAGTGTGTATCTCAGATGACAATGAAGATGACATTGAAGACGATATTTGGAGAGGACTGGAGGAAGGACAGCAATGTCAGAAAAAAAGCCTGAAAATCACCTCTCTCCTCTAATTAGAGAGCCATGTCTCCTCTAATTTCTGATAAAATAACACTAGAGAACAGAATTATTCAGGCCCTACTTGCACAAGCAACCATGCCATATAACCTTCTTCCAGCATCTTTCTGTTTTGATAGCCAGAACGCTTCATTTAATTCCCCTAACCTAGCTCTATTAATAGTCAGTTTAAACCAACTGTGAGAACTGCTGCAGCTGCTTACTTGAAAAATTAACATTAGTCAAGGATTTCATGAAGTGTTAGCATACCCACAGATACCTTGGAGACTCATATGCCTTCTCATTTTGGTGTTGCAACTGTTGGTTTTTGCACAAATGACCTTTTTTCCTCTCTAATTTGGAGGAAGCCCTGGAAGCTCCAGCAGATCCTCAGAACAGGAGGGTCTTTGCCCCAAAAGCCCCACTGAACACATTGCCAACTGCGGCTGCCTACAGGTCCCTACAAACTGCACCGTACCTCAACAGTAGTTTTCTCAGCTCTAACCCTTGAGGACCAGCACCAAATGATTTAGGGTAAGAGGGCCTTCTGCAGGGTCATACGTCATCACATATGTCAGGTGACGAACACTAATCAAAACCTCAGCCATTTTCATGATACCTCTTGGCTGATGCGTTCAGCATGATGGCATTTTGTCACGCAACACCCAAAATCACAAAGACCTCTTCTAAACAACATCAACCACTATGATGACAATGTTTTCATCTGGCCAACCAAAGGCAGAAAAACACACCTTCAGATATCTATTTAATGGGGAAATGAAAGACATAGCTAAACGATATCAGTTTTAATTTTGCTTTTTCCATCTAAGTATAAATTGACTTTTGTGTCCTTCCTACCCTACGCTGATTTCCTGGCTTATAAAAAACTTATCTATTCACAGCTGTTAAATTGAATTCTTTATTGCTGTTATTCTATGTGAGTCAAGAATATCACCACCACACAGCCTCAGGAGCACATAGCGTGTTCCCACGTAAGAAGGTGAACTGCGCCAGGTCACGGACAAGAAAGGGAAGGAAAAGCATGTGATTGAAGTACTGATTCTTCAGAAAAGGTCCTTGCAGTTCCAGGAGCCTCCATTGGCAAATGTACCCAGGCTGCCAAAGTTCGCTTTCTCCAAACCCTGCCTTACAAGTAAACACAAGAGAGTTTGCTCATTTTCGTATCAAGTTACACCCACACTCCTTCCTCCCCTTCACCTGCCCAACACCATTCCTGACACAAAAAAAACCCTATTTGTTCTTTCTGCTGCTCAGAGTGTGGTACCAATACAACAAATGAATAAATACCACTGCTGCACACGGCTAAACAGGAGTTTATTATGGCAGCTGCTTTTGTGATAGAAGAGATATAGGCTTATAAATCAGTAACACATACATGTTATTTTTGTTATTTAAAGCTAAGCAAACAAGTCATATGTCACAATACTCTGGTGACTACAGGAAAAGGGGGAAAAATTGTGCAAAAAAATACAGCAGCCACATGAAGGAGAAAGAATCTTTGTTTTAGTGCCAAGTTCTGCCAAACATACTCATTATTTGCATAACAAAAATAGCGTGCACTCTGTGATTAAGTGGCCAGGGAAGTGCTGTTAAACTTTAACATTGCCTAATCGCTGGCTACCACCTCCGAGACCAACACCTCAAGACCAAAAGTCTCCAAAAAAAAGCGGTATTTCTCTCAAAAGAACTATTTCCCCATGCTGCCCTGGGATTTTATAGCCGCTCAGCTGCGCTTTACCTCAGCTGTCCCACACAAGCGATGCGCCCTTACGGACAGGGGACACCTTCCCTCTGCCGGCTCCAAACCCGCCAACTCTGTCAGCAACACAAACGGCTCAACATTTTAATGCCCCAGAAAGCACAAAAAGCCCAGGCACGCTCCGGCGAGCTTGGCGTTACTCGCCCGGCCTGGTTCCTTCTCCCTCCCCTCACGGGACGGCCGTCGCCCCCTCAGCGGGCGCGGGAAAAGGCGCCGCCCCTCCCGTGGCGGTCCGGACCCCCTCAGGGCCGCCCCCAGCCCCGCTCACCTGGGTGTAGAGCTC